GATTTCAGTCCCTCAGCAATGCAGTATTTAGGTGAGTCGTCAAATGATCAAGCCCAATTTTATAGACATTTGGTCATTAAGTGAATCACATGGTCATTAAGTGAATCCAGTGTTCCATCTTAACACTGCTTGTCGGAAGTTAACTGGGAAGGTCACAAATTGCGATCACATGACCACAGGACACAGCAACCGTCATAAAGGTGAGCCAGTTGCCACAGTGGGATGGAACCCATTCAAGTGGCTCCTTTGATTGTGTGTTGTTGCCAGGGGTTATTGTTTTTTATTCTTTTATATTGGGTTTTTATTGTTTGTAAGCTGCCCAGAGTCACTGAGAGTGAGTGGGCGGCCATAATTCTCCTAAATAAATAAGTGCCCAAGTTGCAACTGTGTGACCGCTGAAGTGGTGCAATGGTCGCAACTTCAAGAACAGGTCATAAAGTCACTCCTTTCAGCATGTTGTAACTCTGAACCATCTTTAAACAAATGGTTGCAAGCAGGGCTTTTTTTTTTGTCATAGAACCCATTGGAATGGAGTTCCGGCACCTTTTTTCAACAGATTTTCCAGAGTTGCGTTCTTTTCCCATTGTTTCCCTTCCTACCCTCGTTTGCTTTTGAAAATGCCCCGCGGGGTCCCCTCTGGCGCTCTCCGCCTCCTCTAGGACAGGGCTTTTCAACTGTTGGTATGCGTACCACCAGTAGTACTTTAGCACCTGGCTGGTGGTACACGAGCTCTAGCTAATTGTAGTGGGGGAGGGAAGCAGTTAAAGCGGAGCCGCACAGACCTGGAGGAGATCAGCTGAAACTGCAGAGCTTGGCAGAATCCCCAGGATCTGCACACATGGCAACATGGTAATTGGAGCTTCCAGTGCACCCGGAAGAGAAAAGGAGGAGAAGAGCGGAGAGAAGGTATAAAAGGGGCAGACCGAGAAGAGGCCTTTCTTACCGAATCAGTGAGGAGAGACAGAGCGAGTGGCCTGTTTTCGGAGGAACAGAGAGCGAGCAGCCTGTTTTCGGAGGAAGGGTGAGTGAGCAAGTGGCGTATTTTGGGGGAAAGGGCGAGCAAGCGAGCGGTGTGTTTAGCAAGCACATTTTCAGGTGAAGGTTGAGTTAGCGAGTGGCGTGTTTAGTAAGCATGTGTTTTCAGACAAAGGTTGAATTAGCAAGCAAGTGAGCTAGGCACGAGCCCAGGAGCACAGCTACAGCTGATCCTGGCGCTTCTGCTAAGTTAGCAACCAGCATGTTTTCCAGCGAAGCGCAAGCGAGCTGGGAAGGAGCCCAGGATCGGCGTGTGCAGCTACAGCCGATCAACTGTAAAACCACATTTCTGGAATTCGGGTTAGTTTGGGGTAAATATTAAGGCAGCCACAGTTTATTTTCCAAATCTGGATGAAGGAAGTTTAGAAAGCTTCAAATGGGCGGGCCTCCTAGTTTGGGCTAATCTGAATTCATTTTTGAAGTTAGTTAGAGATCTTTGATAGGTAATCCCTACACAGAAACCCAGAAGCTAAACCCGCCTTTTGTTTTTGATCTCTGTCAATGTGCTCTGACTCACTGAAGGTGTTTACGGGTGTCAATTATTCAACCATGTTGTATAGCAGTTTGAAGCATTTATGTTTTCAATTTACAGCTCTGGATATTTAGGGAATCTCCTGGAGCAGATTTGGGGGTGCACAGCCAAGAACCACAAAGGAAAAAAATGTACAATGAGGGAGAAGTACAGAAGAAATGCAGTTCTATTCAATAGTACAAAAATGAGTAATCCAAATTAAAACTATCAGTTCTACCCTTTTATTCAGAACAGAAGAGTGATTTTACCAGCAATCTGTACTTGCTATTAATTTCTTCTCTACCTGTTATAATTGAAGGTAAGTGTTTCTGACAGAACAATACTTCTTAGAAATCTAAATATTGCTTCTCAGAGTACTCAGTGTTTCAGAAGCTGCCTGAAAAAGAATATTTAACATGGAATGGATTCTGAAACAGGCACAGGGAATTTGTTCATGGACCACCGTTAACATTGTTAGGTCAAGTATGTGCAGCTAAATAAAAAGTCTGGCAAGTCAGGAGGCATACACATTTTTGCAATAAAAGTAAACATACAGGCAGTTCAGCAAAACTGTTAAAGATGCTCCATTTCAATAATCTGGTCCTGGGGTAATGAAGTGTGGTGTCCAAATGCAGGAAACTAATTTACTATGACATTTTTAAATTTAGTAGATCGGTAAAATTTGCCTTGCAGTGGCAAGGAGGTGAACCTAAAGGAGTCTGAGACCATTTTTCCCCCCTCACAACTGGACAACTCACGACCCCTTGGGTCATAGTTTCAGAGATATTTCCTTCCCATATTTCTCAATGCCTTCAACAAAGGCAGAGCTTGTAATATACCTGGAAAGTTCTTAAAAAATTCAGCGAGATATTCGGAGATGTATCTGCTTTGAAGAAAAGCCCATGTTGAACTATACAACACAAACATCAGCACAGGAAATGTTTTATGACATTATGTATGATGTCACAAATTGCTTCATGAACATTTTTATCCTACAAAATGTTTTATATACAATTTGCCAAATTTCAATTCCATTGGGAGTCGTGGGTCCCAGATTTTGGACACATTCTGTAAGCTAGCCCAACTGAAGTATCTTGGTTCAAAACTGTTGCCCCAACATGGATCATTTTGCCCAGTTAAAGGTTATTTGAACGAGTGTTTTAGTAGTATGTAGATAGATGAAGGAAAAGCAATAAAATGGCTGAGGTCAGGAGTATCTGTAGGGGATGATCTAAAAAATCAAGATGGTGGCCACAATGATGTAATCAATCCATCTTGACTTTTTGAATCATCCCCTGAGGATAACCTGGCTGAGATGCAGCAATGGCTTTGCCTGAAGATGACAATAAATGGATGGAAGAATCCTTCAGATGGCCATCCTAGGACTATAGAAAAAATCAACCACACAATGGAAATGATGTATAAGGTGTTTGGAATTGAAAACATTCAAGCTATTCCATTTTAAAACATGTTATTTAGTTTGTATTTATTTTAACTACTTCAAACATTATACTCTCTCCCCTTATTTTCTCCATATAGGGAAAGATGTGAGAATTGGGTAAAGAGAGGGTAAATAGTCCAAAGTCTCCAGATGGATTCCGTGTCTATGGGATAACTAGAACTTACAATCTCCTGTTTCTAGTTTCTAGTGTTAGACAACACAAAATGTTTCTAGTCCACACCTTAATCAGTATGTCAAAGTAGTTTTCAATTTTAATTTTAAATTTGAAACAGGTGATCCAACTTCGTTGGCAGCATTCCAACATGGTCCCAACCATATCAACTGTCTTCTGATCTTGAAAGTTTTGAGCTTGAGACATTTGCAATATGGACAGACAATACTGAAACATTTACGGTGAAGTCTGAACAACGCTTTCTGACTTTGAAATGTTTCAGTACCAAAGCACTTTAGATATCTCTACTGTGTGGCTATTTCACTGTTATTTAGGGCATCAAGAAAGTGTAAATCCAAAATACCTGGAAAGTACAAAATTTGGCAAGGATAACATTTAATATTAGGAAACAGTAACATTTATTCCTATGCTACGCAACATTTGATCTCATGAATTTCACTCTCCTCCATTACCTGTGGGGTCTCGAAAAGTCAGGGAGACCTCAAGCTATTAATTGTGAAGCAAAATAATCTTAAGTTTCGTTCCTTGACTTACAACCATTCATTTAGTGACTGTTTGAAGTTACAATGACACTGAAAAAAGTGACTTATTGCTAATTTTTACATGACTGTTGTAGCATCTCTACAGTCATGTGATTAAAATTTGGGTGCTTGACAACTGGCACTGTCCCGGGGTCATGGGATCCCCATTTGTAACCTTCCAGCCAGCTTCCAACAAGCAAAGTCAACGCGGGGGAGCCAAATTTGCTTAATGGCCACAGGATTCACTTAACAACTGCAGTGATTTGCTTAACAACTTTGGCAAAAATGATCATAAAATGAGACAAAATTTCACTTAAAAACAGCCTTGCTTGACAATGGAAATTATGGGTTCATAGCCGAGGACCACTGTACAAGTTCTATTTACCACTTTCAAAACTCTCACCCTAAAAAGACTCTAAATATTTATTATTATAATAAATCTGCAGATGATCCAAGAATATTTGTCAGTGAGAGAGCACTGTTGGAGGAATTGCACAGTAGGATTTCACACGGCAGTATATAATTCTGCTTAAAGACGAAGCTTCAACAAACACCAAAACTCCTTTGTCTTCGTGACTGCAACTGTGACAATCTCCCCCCTAGCATTAAACATCTACAGGGAGTGGGATGTTTGTGTGCTTCCTGATTTGTTGGCCAATCCACACACAATAAACCATCTTGCCAAGAATGAAAATATATAAACAATCCACATCAAATTATGTTAGGGATAATTAGTTGCTTAAAAGAACATGTTTTCTGTCAAACGCTTGTAATCACTTGGGTGCCAATTGGCTAGCATTCTACTTACCTAAACACAGAAATCAGCTGGGTGGCAAGCTCACCTCCTGGCCTTGCTTGGCAGCCTTCTACCAAGTACTGCAGTATCTCCGTAGAGAGTTTTTTAACTGGAAGAGACAAATTGCATTGAGCCTCTGAATAGCTACATCAAAAAGAGCTCTAGGAAGTTTATGGAATGATTGGGGCTGGAGAAGGGACTGTTTTTGGCACTGTGATTCTGAGTGATTCAAGCCTAATGAATGTAAAAGGTTTCAAGGAAAGGTGCCTGATGATGTAATGGAATAAATGACCACTAAACGCTTGGAGACCAAGTTTATATAGTAATCTTTTAAGGCCTATGGTGTCAATGCTGCTAACATTGGATGTTCTTGCTTTGACAACATATGAAGATGCAGCCTTTTTCTTTCCTGTGCTTTACTCATAATAACAATAACAATACCAATAATAATAATAATAATAATAATAAAGTTGGAAGGGACCTTGGAGGTCATCTAGTCCAACCCCCTGCTCAGGCAGGAAACCCTATACCATTTCGGACAAATGGCTTAGAATTAGATGATGCTGTGAGAGGAGGCGGAATGTGGTGGGAGTTAGTTAGACATAACAATATTGTACTAGTGTGTGAATTCAGAGCTTGAAATAAGAGATGATAAGAACTGGTGGGTTAGAGATCAGGAGGGAAAGCCTGCAATTTAAACTAATTTTTATGATTTATGACTGTTAATTGGAGGAGGGAATTGTGCTTTGATGCTATATGCTCAGGGGAGGGGAATTCAGATTTCGGCTTCAACCATGTACGTGCTGATGCCATGCAACTTGAATAAAGATTCTTTAAGGTAAACAATGCCTCGAATTTCTTTGAAGAGTTTCATCTGTCGGAACCATGACATATGGAACTATAGAGAAAGTCCAGCTCCTTCGAGATATATTTCTCTTAATTTTGCTCTATAAAATCTTGAAAGGGCACATGCTAAATGTGTCAGCTTAGAAGGTCTGTTCAGGCCTCATCTTTCTCATTAGCAATAGCAATAGCATTTAGGCTTATATACTGTACCATTCCATAATACTTTACAACACTCTCTGAGCGGTTTAAAATGTCAGCATTACTTGCATATTTCCCCCAACAATCTGGGTCTTCATTTTACTGACCTCAGAAGAATGGAAGGCTGAGTCAACCTTGAGCCTCATCAGGATTGAACTTGAGGCTATGGACAGAGTTTGCCTGCAATACTGCAGTTTAACCACTGTGCCACATTAACCTTAGACAAACCATTATCTCTCACCTTTGTTTTACCCAATAAACTAAATAGTTGAAATGGTAAACTAAAGTACTTTGAATTTTAAAAATACTCTCAAACTCAAGAGTTGTTACCACTAATATAATATGAATATTCCAGAGGCATAACAATTAAATCATTGCAACCACAGAAGAGACCAAACAATTCTCTTTCTAGAGGGAATCTTGATTAGCAACTTAATTCAGGGTCTGGATTCAGCAGTGGCTGAAGTGCTGCTACCCCAACTTTATGGCCTCCTATATTCTGTTAAAAGTTGTTCTAAAGAGCATTTTATTCAATGAGGTCCTTTTTTCTTTTCTGCATATAAAAGCAGTTCCAAGCAAAGCAGCCAACCCTCATGAACTGAAAGTTTGGAACGTGAGGTTCTACATGACATCCAATTTGAGCTCAAGATAGATTTCACAGATGTCAAACTTGCTTGTGGAGGAAAAGTAGTAGTACAGGTAGTCCTCGCATAACAATCCTAATTAGGACAGGAATTTCCGTCACTAAGCAAAATAGACAAAATATCACATGACTCTGCTGCTTAGTGACAGCAATTCCGATAGCCCCAGTTGTTAGACAGGGACCATGGCACTGTTAGAAGACCTCATGTTTCTTCTGCCTGTGGAAAATGCTAGCTTCTCTTCTTTCCTACCTAGCCGGGCCAGTGAGCCCCCTTTGGTAGATGAGGTTCTGCCACCCTGGCTGCATATATCCTGGACTCGTGCAGAAGAAGGAAGAAGACAACGAATGTCAGCCAGGAGTGGCAAGGGTAAGTGGCCGTGGAGTGCAGGATGGCCAAAAGCAGATATGAAGGGGAGTCAAGCAGGTGGGGGGAACTGAAATGCACACCGTGGTTGTAAATGTGGGCCCGCTGACAAATGCCCAATTCTTGATCATATAACCACACTGTAACTTCAAGGACTAGTTATAAATTCCGTTCGTTTATTCCTATTACAGCTTCAAATGGTCATTAAGGGAGGACTATTTGTGCCTCCTTGAGCGCCAGTTAGCTGTCACTAATCAACACAGCAACCCAATAGGTGTTTGTCCTATTTGTCCTTGCATATCTCTTACATAGCTAGAAAGCTTTTCATTATATGTCAGTGCAAAACCTATTCCTTCTCAAGTTAATTCTGTATCTAGGGTTGTAAATTAAGCATTTGGGATTTAAGAAATAAATGCCAGAATCCTTATCAATTTAGGTCTGATTATAGTGATGATCAAATGATACCAGTGGCTGATTCAAGACATTAACTATCTACTACAGATGTAAGACCACTGGCTTGCATGCAAGCTCCCAAGTCTATTGTCAGACTGGAAAATCTTCTTTATATTCACAACCATCAGTATACATCAGTGGTGGCGAACCTATGGCATGGGTGCCAGAGGCGGCACTCAGGCGGCACGCGCGCCGTCGCCCCAGTCCTAGGCCTTCAGCTGGGTTTTATAAAACCTTTTCGCTTTAGGCCTCCGCTGCCGTGTGCAAAAAAAAAAAGGTTCAATCAATCAGTCAATTTCAACTTCTCGCGGGAAAAAAAAAGATCTTGCAAAGTTGGAATTGATTGATTGATTGAACTTTTTAGTCCCACCCAGTCTGCCGTTACCACCGCAGCTACGCCCACCCGATGGGCCACACCCACCCGGCACCCGACGATGCATAAGTGGGTTTTGGGTTACAGTTTGGGCACTCGGTCTCTAAAAGGTTCGCCATCACTGGTATACATTATCCTTGTTCAATTGAAGCCTGTGACCTGTTTCTTATACTTTCTGATATTCTACTGCACCATACATAGACAACAAAGGAAGCCCCTAAGCTTACCTTGTGGCTCATTAACCAATACGAGGCACTTTAACACAGAAGGCAGCAATGTCTCAACATCCCATATCTCAATGCTTTTGGTCCTTTGCAGTGCTTCAAGAGTGAAAGCTAAAACTGATCCTAGGCGAGAAGGAGGGGCGTTACCTTTGAACTGTAGATAATTTTCACTGGAAGGAAATAAAAAGGGATCAGTCTCTCTCTACCATTCTTTAGGACAAGGAATGAGAATTAACATGTTTGTATATTCTTCGGTTATATTTTCACCCAAATAAGTTTACATATACACAGTGCGTTCTGATGGAATTAAACCCATCCAGTTATTTTTCAGCTAAAAAGTTCTGATCATCCCCCCACCCAATATCATGCTTGTGTTGCTTTCAAAGTAAAAGACACCAAAGCTTTTTCTCCACCAATTTAGCTATTAAAAAAATTTAAATACCAACAGTTGATTTTATTTTTCTGGACACTACCTGATGACTTGGACAGAGGTCTTGTGTAGATGTGCGGCTTCTGGAGTGGCAGCCGAACTGCACAATGCCAGCAAGAGGGGATGATGTCCTGCTCGAGATGACTGAAGAAGAAAGCGCCCCAAATACTGGCGAATCACATCCCGTAGCAATTGGTTCAAATAGGCACTCTGAGTTTGAGACTGGCAATGGCAACAAATAAAGGACAAGCCCTACAGAAGGGGGAGGGGGAAGGGAAGGAAAAAAACAACAACCACACTTTGTCACATTCAGATTGTAAATGCAAAACATCACTATCCCCCGCAGGACGTCAAATGGGTCTTCTGAAAGTAAAATATGCTGCAAATGGTGAGAATTGCTGAGAGCATCACTACCCCAAAGTGTCTTAAATTTCCAAACATTATCAAGTGGGTGTTTATTTCTTAAAATGTACAAAAAGAGGTAGTTTTTTTTTTTAAAAAACCCCACAAAACCAAGAACTTACTTGCTATCTCTGCATTTACTATCCAGAGCTTGGTTGTTTCCATTTGTTTTGCCCCATTATCTACGGCAGTGGTGGCGAACCTATGGCACGGGTGCCAGTGGTGGCACTCGGAGCCCTCTCTGTGGGCACACATGCTGTTGCCCCAGCCTTGCCTCCCCCTGCAACCCCCTCCTCACCAGCAGGCCCCTGGAGGAGAGTCACCCCCGAGCGTGGCCCACGCGGAGCAGCGCAGCTAAGGACAGGGCAGCCAGGCAGCGTAGACAAAACTCTGCCCTCACGCCCCATCGCGCACACTTGATGCTGTGCGGCGCTGGGCTGCCTGGGCGATCTGCGGCAGGCCCTGGAGGCGGTGAGTGGCCCTGCGGCCAGGCGGGGTGGGAGCAGGGCAGGGGGTGGAACAGGGGCGGGGCCAGTTTTTGGGCACTCGGTCTCTAAAAGGTTCGCCATCACTGATCTAGGGCCCAGAATCTTTTTCTAGAGACAGACAGGAGGGTTGCCATAAAGATAGCAATGATCTATTAACTTAGGTCATGTGACCCAGATGAGGAAGAGGATCTCTCTTGTGACTGAGGGTGAGGAATCTGAAGTATCTTCTGATTGTTTTGCTCCGTTCCTTTATATTTTTGATCACGTATAGGTGGGCAAAGATTTTATTTTTTATTCATTTGCATCCTGCCTTTATTATTTTTACAAATAACTCCAGGCAGCGTACACATTCGACACAATTTCCTCCTCCTGTTTTCCCCACAACAACCCTGTGAGGTGAAAAAAAAAAAGAGAAAGGAGGAGAGAAAGAAAAAAAAGAGTGACTGGCCCAAAGTCACAATCGTCTTGTTAAGCCCCTTAATAAGAATTATTGAACAATCTTTTTTATTGTAAATAGAATGTTAATGTTACATCCTATTACAAGTCACAATCGTCTTGTGAGGTCCCTTAATGGGAATTATTGAACAATTTTTTAATTGTAAATAGAATGTTAGTATTATATTACTGATAGAATACTGCTATTAATAAAATAATGAATATTGGCATTCATATTCTTGATTTAATGGTATGTTCTATTTAATTTTTTGATATATTTTAAATGAATGGCAGTTGAGGTAATGAAATGTTTTTATATACAGTAATTTATTTTTCTGTACTATATTGTAAGTATAGTCTATTTTCTTGGAAATATATACTATACAAATAAAATCAGCCAGTAATATGATCTCAGACTATTTCAGCTTTGTAGTGGTTAAAGCGCTGACCAAAAACCAGGAGACTGAGTTCTAGCCCCACTGTAAGCATGGGAACTTGACTGGGTGACTTTGGGCCAGCCACTCTTTCTTAGTCCAACCCACCTTAAATGGTTGCTGTGGGGAAAATAGGAAGAAAAGGTACCATGCATGTTTTCCCCTTTGAGTTACCTACAAAAATAATAATAAAGGCAGGATAAAAAGCTAATCAATCAGCCAATCAATCAGTTTCAAAGATTCATTACGTGACTCCAATTTTTTTTAACAAAAAGAAATATTCAAAATACATAAAATTACACCTATTATATATAAAATGAAGGAATATATTCCATAATAAAAGGGGAGAACATTGATTTTTCTCTTCCTCCGCTTTTGCTCCTTCAAGAGCAGACTGCCCAAAAAGAATTTTTGCTGCTTGCCACATGATCTTGCAATCCCTGTCTTCAAGTAAATAGCTTATAAAAGTTAAGCTATGGAGATCGTGTACTAAAGGGGCTATCATGATATTAAGATGTTGTTATAGAAAAGTGGAAAATTGTGGAACCAAGTTTTAATCATATTTGCTCCTTATGGGCAGAGTCCTACTGAGTGTTCTTATGAATCATCATGAATATCCATGAGAATTGCTGAAGGGAAGATGTTAAGATCTTCAAGGAAGAACACCCTGTTACTTGGGAGAGTAAAATGTCTGATACATCATACCACCTGGAAACTATGAAGCTAAGTTTCAACTACTATTCTTGAAGACTTCTACCTCACTCTTCCTGCATGTCCATATTAGGGGAAGTCTTTATTTCAGCCTCTTTAGTGTACTTGTAGGTCACCAGCCTCTGGGAGAAAGCTCAGAAAGCTTATCAGTTGTCAGGATGCACATAAAGAATCTATCAGCGTTAAAGGGGCTAGGCCAGGGGTGTCAAACTGATGGCCCATGGGCCGGACGGGTCATCTGGAAGCCACGCCCACCCCATTGCTGGCAATGGCAAAACCGTCCCGATACGTTGCGCGACATCATGTGACGTCGCGAGTTTGACATGTCTGGGCTAGGCCTTGTTATATTAAAAAACAAAAAAAACAGCATTAATCAAAATGTTAAATATCTTCACTGAGGCCCTAGGTCAGGGGTGGGGAACCTTGGCTCTTTTATGACTTGTGGACTTCAACTCCCAGAATTCCTGCTGGCTCAGGAATTCTGGCAGTTGAAGTCCACAAGTCATAAAAGAGCCAAGGTTCCCCACCCCTGACCTAGGTGTTCTGTAAACAACATGCCACATTTGAAATGCAATCCAGCACTTGAAACACTTGAGACTTGATCTGAATGGTCTTAAGTAGACTGTCTTTTTTCCTCCCAAACCAAATTCTACTTTATAGAGAAGTTGGTCCAGGGGTTTAGCCACAAAATACCTGATAGCAGCTTGGATAAACTGGAATCCCTTTGTGTTCTGAAATGTTCCTTGAGCTTTCTGGCTCCATATAATTACCAGATGAGTAGAAAAACATCCTTAGATACCACCTGCTTGAACTTCTACCTGTTAATGATCCAGGTTAGGCTTCCAAGTCTGTTTAGGTATACTTAATTTTATTGATGTCTAATTTCAGGTGTTACTCTCTACAGATAAAGATTGGTGTGCCCCCTTTAACCCATGGTGGCACTGATTGAATCAGTGCATAATCTAGGTATAGCAGCATTATCATGTGCCCATCTGTAACATTTGGCTGGTGAAATTTTATTTTAGTTAAAAGATTGACAATGCAAAAATTAAGTAGCCATGGGACAACTTACAAATAAATTATACAATTTATTATACAATCATATAAATGTTCCAAACAGTTTTAAATGTACTATTGTTTAGCCATTAATAAAAAATGCCTAGCTAAAATGAACAATGGGGCTTACATTTTGCATATTTGACCAAAAATTCAATTATGTAATTCAATCGTGCAGGAATAACTGGCATAAACTTTGTTTGCATAATTCATAAAAGAACTAAGCTGAACTTAAAATAAAATAAAGTCTTCTTTTGGGACACTAGTTGTTGAAGATCACTTATCCATGGTTAAAAATACTTTTTTCTAACCTTGCTTCTGTCCAATAATTTTATGTTTTAAGTTTAGTATTTGGAATTAATATTTAAACCCCTCAAATTAAAAAAGGAAAAGAAATGTCGGGAAACCTTTTGTGAAGGACCCCAATATCTTACAGCTTATTTTAAAAACTATGAGTGCTTTGGAATATTCATTTCTTATTTTATGTGAAATGTATACTTGTTTTAGGTAAAGTAAATAATTTTCTGTTCATGACTTTTTCTTTGTTCTGTGCATTTTTTCCTCCTCTCTGCCTAAACAGATTTTGTTGAAAATGCGTTCAAAGATTAACAGGAACAGGAGTAAATCATGAGCCTCTTACCATATGGAGTTATTATTGGAGAATTCATGAAGAATCTTATATTGAATTCATACTAGCAAAATGATCAAGAGACAATTAGTATGTTATCAGCAGAAGAAAGTTCTACCACTGCCACTGCCATCAAGGAGTGCTGATTTCCAGGGCGGCCAAAGTGTGTATGTGTGGGGGAGTTGAAGCACCTTAGCAGTTGTCAGTGTGCATAGGCTGCCAGGTTCCCAAATTTTGATCATGTGACAGTGGAGGGGGGTATTGCAATGGATGTAACTTCAGGGACTGCACATTACCTATCGTACGTTCAGCATCATTGTAACTTCCAATAGTCACTGAACAAATGGTGATTATGTGAAGAACATCTGTAATCAGTGAATTATAAATAAGCTATCATTTGCTTCACAAGTGCAGTTTTCATTTTTTAAATTACGTAAGGGAGAGAAATGTGCCTAGGCCAGGCATTTGAACAAGTACCAAATACTTTTGAGATAAGTAAAATCAAGAACTGAGCAACCTGTAATCATCCCAAATCTTACCGTAGTCATGAGTTTACCTACGTATGCATATACCAGTGGTGGCGAACCTATGGCACACGTGCCAGAGGCGGCACTCAGAGCCCTCTCTGTGGGCACGTGCGCCATGCCCCGGGCATGGCAACCATCCCTCTTCAACCAGCCGCCCGCTAACTCGCCGAGGTCCCACATGGCCAGATGCATCCCAGCACCCATGCGCTCGCTGGCCTCTGTGTGCAGGGGCCGATGGTGTCGGGCAGCAGCTGCCCCGGCCCCTGCCTCACCTTGCCCTGTGACAATGGCACTCCCACTCTGCCTCGCCTTGCCTCCTCACCCCGCAAGACGAGCCTCCTGCCCACCGCCCCACCTGCCAGAGACCCCCTGGATGTCCCCCAACCCTGCCCGGCCCCCACAGGTGTCCCTCCCCAAGAGCAACATCGAGGTGATCAAGCCCACCTTGGCCACACCCACCCAATCTGCCATGACCACCACGGCCACGCCCATCCAGTGGGCCACGCCCACCTGGCACCTGGAGATAAATAAGTGGGTTTTGGGTTGCAATTTGGGCACTCGGTCTCTAAAAGGTTCGCCATCACTGGCATATACTCATCAATACTTATATTACTCAAACACACACATACTGTAGATTTTTTTTAGCCCAACTTTATTACTTTTATAAGTAATTCAAGGCGGCAAACATACATAACCCTCCTTCCTCCTCCTAATTTCTCCACAACAGCCCTGTGAGATGGGCTTGGGCTGAGAGACAGTGATTAATAATAATAATAATAATAATAATAATAATAATAATAATAATAATAATAATAATAATAATGATGTTGGAAGGGACCTTTGAGGTCAGCAAGTCTAACTCCCTGCTCAGGTAGGTAACCCTATACCATTTCGGACAAATAGCTGTCCAGTCTCTTCTTAAAAACTTCCAGTGTTGGAGCATTCACCACTTCTGGAGGCAGGTTGTTCCACTGGTTAATTTGCCCAAGGTCACCTAAGGCAGGATCAGAACTCAGTCTCCTGATTCCTAGGCCAGCACCTTAACCACTATATCAAAGTGGTGCTTCTCTCTCTCTCTCTCTCTCTCTCTCTCTCTCTCTCTCTCTCTCTCTCTCTGTGTCCCTCTGTGTGTGTGTTTTCATACGAACATAGTATAGAGAGATACAGAGAAACCAGCATACCTGAAGGAAAAATGGGAGATTCTCACGAATGGCAGCCAACATCACTGCAGGCAGTCCTTTATCCTGCTGAAGCACAGCATGGGGCAAAAGCAAGCAATCTATAATACGGAACAAGAGGGGCTGTGCTTTGGAAGTAGCCAATATGGCTGCCCAGGATTTCACAAGGCATCCTGTTGAAAGAAAACCAAGAAAACCAAAAGTCAAAATTGCAAAAGGAGAGAGGAAGCATGAGCAAACCTTTCTGCCGGATTCCATTTCTGCCGGTAACTATAGCAACCAAATAGTCGCATTTCCATGTATCCCGCTTAACAATCCCAGGGATGGTGAACGTCCAATTTGTACAGTGAACTAAGAATGAGAGTTGTGAACTTTGGACTGAAGCCAGATACGTCAAGGAAGAGTACACTCAAGGAAATAATGCTAATGTATGCCACTTTTGTACTTTATATTTACTATTTGGTATGATCATTTCTAATGTCAATTACTCTGCCTTTTGATTTTCATCAAAAGCAGTAACGTAGTTGGCTAATAAATGAACAAATAAATGTAAAGCAAAGCAAATGTTATGAATGCACAAAACATTCAGCAATATATTTTGAATCCCCCTTCACTTCCCTAAATAGGAAATATCACTAGGAAAAAGGATAGTCTTGCTTCAAATAAACAGAAACCTCACAGAATGACAGAGCCTGTATTAGAACAGAATGCGTGACCCAATTTTATTTCTCAGTAACTTTTTAAGTCTGTACAGGAAAATGAATCAACTCTTTCAGCGTACCTAACTAAACTACTCCCCTACTTGAAAAATAAACATTGGCAATTTTTGCAGCTAAGTGTGTGCCCATCATGCCATAATGTGATCTTTCCAAACAAGCAAGAAATCTATAGTTTCTCACTGATTTCTAGAAGGAACAGACAGGAAGCTCATATGAACTAGGCTGGCAGAAGAGAAAAGGGGATGACTAGTGAACTACGTTGAAGTAGGCAGCTGTGGAGCTGCTGAAGTTTTTAACCTGTCCAGATGAACCCCAGCCAAGCCTGTCATTCTAAGTGAATGTGGTCTGGAGAAGAAGGGAAGAAGGATGGGAGGGAGCATTATGATGTGGGATATTAACCAAAAAGGGGGGGAGGGAAAGAAATCATCCCCCCAAAAAATCATGTTCCAAAAAGGAATAAGATGCTATGTTGCCAAGCCGAAGAAGAATAGCTAACTAAGTCTAACTAATATATTTCCTTAAAAGCAGAGAGGACATAGAAATTGCCACATACTTACCAGCTAGAAGCAGAATTTTTACTTTCAAAAAAGGGTCAATAATATGGTTTACTTAGCTATACTAAAGGAGCTGGTCATGAATCCAAGCAGCATTCCAATGATATAAAGGGAAGGAGGAGAGAAACGTTCTCATTCCACGTTCTCATTCTGCTTGACTATGTTGCAAAACAGAATGTTACAAAAAACAAAAACTTGCAACATAATGTACACTCACAACGAGTAAGCCTTAAGGCACTGTATGACTTGTATGGAAGTGTACGAATGGCCAGACTATCTTCATTCTGGGAAAAGATATGTGTCTATACCTACAAAGATAAGAATCATGAAGTCAATGGTTTTCCCTATCATACTTTATGGAAATAAAATGTGGACTTCAAAGAAGCAGGATAAGAAGATATTGACATTTGACATTTCTGAACTTTAATAATGAAGATCACAGAAAATTAAAACAAACAAACAAAGAAACAACCCATGGATCTTAGAAGAAATCCAGAAATCAATTAAGACGCAAATAACCAGATTCAAATTATAATATTTTGGACGGATTATGTGAAGAATTGGTGAAGACCATAATGCTAGGAAAAGTGGAAGGAAAGAAAAGAAGAGGACAGTCAGCAATAAGATCGATGGACACAATCCCAGCAACAATGGGTGCAACACTGGGGATCTGAAGGGCCAGACTGGGGACAGATCTTCCCAGTTGCTAAGATTTATTCTCAATTTGTCTCAATGTGCTGCAGAAGGAGTTTCCTCAAGAAATGCATAACCCAACAACCTCTTAATGAACATAGCCCCATTTGCACTGTGTCTCCTGGCTGGTTTTTTTTATTGACAGACGCTTGCAAGGGAACCAAATGGCAACCTGGCTTTTGTAGGTTAGAAGTTCTTCTGCTGGACACGTTGCCTGGAAGCATTGATGCTAATGGCTTTGCTTTCTATTATTATAAGGGGGCACTAAGCATGATAATTACCTATTATCTTGTAAGTGAGATGGAGTCCTTCTGCCGGGCCTTTCTTTATTAAATAGGGTTTTACATATTTTAATATATCACCAAGATATTCTAATGCCTTTGTCACCATGGCTGATTTTTCAGGCAGATGCTGAAGTCCACTGTAGGTTTTTCCAACAGCCTAAGAAAATACAGGAGAAAAAAAACGGAGAGCAATTCTTGATATTGGGTTACACCTATCCTATTAAGATAGGATAGGGTATTTTCTAATTCTATGTCTCCAAAATTGCTACTTATAATAAACACCATACCTCAATGAATCGGAAAACAGCCTCCTTAGGATCTTGTTTGTAGACTGGCTCATCAAAGTGAGCCCTTGAGAAGATAGTTATTATTTCTGGTAGTTTGAATATCAATCTTGTAAGTTCAGTCAGTTGTTCCATATAAGCCTTATCTATTTATCAACACAACACAAGAATTTGATGTGACTTAGCATTGGACTTTTCCCATCCTTAGACAGTTCCTTTGATATGATGAACTTCAACTTCTACAAGGGGAATATATGAATTGTACTCTAACACCAGTGTTGGTTAGTTGGATTTATATACTCTATTGTGTTTCCTCAAGGAGCACAAAGCAGTAAACTCAGCGCTTCCTAGTCCATTTTTCTGAACAACTACAAAAACCTTATAAGGTTGAGTTGGGAGTGTAATTGGCCAAGTCACTTAGTGAGCGCTGATGGCAGAGGGTAAATTTGAATCTGAGCCTTACTAGTTCTAGACCAGGGGTGTCAAACTGCCAGCCCGCAGGCCGGATGCGTCATGCCAAAACCGCGCCCACCCCACTGCTGGCAATGGAAAAAAAGTTGCAATACATCGTGAGATGTCACATGACGTTGCGAGTTTGACACCCCTGTTCTAGACTAATACCTTAATCACTATACCAAGTTCAGATTCGAAAGACTGCAAAAAAAGCAGGTTTTTTTTTAAAAAAGCATAGATATTTCTTGGAAATTTTAAGATGCTATGACTGTTAGTAAGTATTTTCCATCCAACCCTTTGCTTTCAGGGGGTTATCAACCTCTCTCTTTCCATCTTTGTTATTCCCCCTTGCAAACATATGTATACTTCAGTATACATTAAAAAAAAGAAAAACCTAAGCCCACTACATTTCTACATTATTTCCACTACTCAAGTCAACCAAGCTCACCAATTCAGGTGAGATAACCAAAGATCAAAATCTAAAGTACATGAAATGACCACTAATTCATCTGTTGTCTTTTACCCCAGGTTACTTTCAGAGGTGTCTTGCCCTTTGCTTGAAAATATAATAAAAAGAACCACTAGCATTAATATCTATAAATACAGACTTTCAATTGTCCTACAGTAAAGTACCCTCTCACGTGAGTTAAAATGTTTTGAAATAATGTATCAAATTTAACCTGATTTTGTTTGTTTTTCAAATGAACACACTTACTTTAAATTAAATTGAAAATTAAGCAACTAATCAATTACCCAAATAGGCAAACATAAACTGGAAGAATAATAAGGCAAAAAAGGGGTAGAGGTGACAGTAAACTAACATTGTGCACTTAGTTGAAAAGACTAAGTTTCTATTGCTGCTGATCACATATAAGTCAATGCACATACTAGTAGTCTGGTCAGCATCTGTTCTGATCAAAGTCTCAGGAGGCTGATTGATAAACATTTGTAAAATGCATCGAAACCATGACTGAACAAACAAGGATTGGTAAGATGAATGACCCATGCCAGTAAGAGCTTCAGCCAGGGCACTGTATAGAAAAGAAAGCCAATAAAGAAAAACACATTAGGTAAACAGAAAAATCAGTCTTTCTCTTTGATTTGTATCATTTTTTTAAAATCAGTAAATGATTCCAAGAACTCTTGCCTCTAAGAAATGCCCTGTATGCACTAAAAAGAATACCATGCCTTCTCCCAAAACTGGGCAGAACTCACCCCTAAACCAATTTGTGCAACGCAACTGTAACAAAATCTAGGATATCACTTATTCCCAGTTTTCTAATAGTGCTTCGTGTACAGTCAGCAGAACAGCTGGAAAATTCCATGCAGCTTGCATAGTCCAGGGAGATAGGAAAATCAATGAAAATATAATGCAACATAAATGTTTTCAGGAAAATTAATATTATAATTTATCGGAGCTGGTCCTCCTGAACGATTAAGAGAGAAGAAAAATGATAACTCTGTTTGGAAATGCAATTTAGTGTCCTTAATCTCTAACATACATCCATTCCCTTTCTTCTTCATTACTCTCTCTTCTGACACCCCTCTTTTTTCTGACATTCCTCTTTCCCCACCATACATCTGTTTCCCAGCAGACTGAGAAGAACTGTCAGACTTGACAAAAGCATGACAAAATGGCTGTTGAAACTGGATTATTTAATGTATCGAAAGGATAATATTGGTACTGTTATTTATATAGCTGAAGAAAAATCTAGAAAATAGATTTTCAATCCTGCTTTTACAGAAATGTATAATAAAAATCTACATGTTACTGCAACAGAAGCAGTAAACCAAAGTTATGCAAATACCTGCTTTTATTTAACCAAGAAGTTGTATGGCTTACCTATTTTGTATCAGGTGAGTTAGATACCTTGAAACCAGCTGTGGGCAAACCATGTCATCCCATCCAAACAACTGCATCATAGATATAACTGGCTGAGGTTGGAGATCTGATGTACATGTGCTGGGTAAATCCAGAGCTAACAGAGTCAAACCTGTTTTTAAAAAGGAAGTGGGTATGTGTTACAAAAGCAGAGAAGTAGAGCAATCCTATATGCTTTGTATACCACTGATTTTTTTTAAATACTAAGATTCCTTCCCCATCCCCAGCAAATATAAATAATTTGAAATCTTGAGCAGAGCTGCAAGACATATGCTTCAGTTTTTCCTGCTTGCTGTTTGTATCTTAAAATCTGTTTCTACCAGCTGCTATTTACTTCCAGGAAATTCTACTGTAAAGAACGAAAGAAACTGGAAATAGGAATCATAAAGTGAGATGGATTGTGCTGTATGTTGTCAAACCAGCTTCATGAGTCAGACTTACCCTCTAACATGGGTCAACTCATGCTATTTATAATCATGGAGTTTATTATTATTATTATCTTTGCGGACATTTGTGGGGAGATAGGAAAATGATATTGGCACTAATTCCGTAATCAAAATGAGTTAAAATTTAACTGTGCTATGTCATTTATTCATTCATTGAATATGTATTAAGAAACTTATACTTTCACTGTTCTTTAGCATTTTAACACAAACACTGCTATATTCTCAGCGTTATTAATGATCAATTATATAGGTTTTTTTTTTTTACCTTTTTAAGCAACTATGCAAGGAAAAACTAGAATTGACTAAAAGAAGGTACTAGAGCCACTGCTTTAGTGTTGTGTCCGTATGCTATTGCATGCCAAGGAAGTGGGCAAATATTTCTTTTCCATTGCATTTTATTCCACCATTATTATATCTTAACTATTGCAAAGCTGCTGAAATTCAAGGCCTTTTTTTCATTAACGACGAGGATTTTAAGGGTGCATATGTTCAGTTCTTAATTCATGTTGAGAAAAACGTATTTAAATTCAAATCTATCTTTTACAAACAATACTGAAATGGAGGTATCAGTGAGGTATTGTAACTAAATGCAAGCCTTCTTGCGCTGAGTTAAAATATACAGAGTTAGTATATGTGGAATTTCATGGAAGAAATAGTACTATATATTAAAATATAAAGATGGGCACAGCTCTAGTGAAGACAAGGATCACCACTTTTATAGTTTAGTTGCAAGATGTTGTTCCATCTGCTAGGATTTTTGATTCTTACATTATAAGACTCCAGAATATAGGGTGTTATATTTTTTTTTTAAAAAGCCATATAAAATGTATTTGAAATCTTACTTGATATATTTACAGAACAGTGAAGATTATTATAATCCTAGAGAAACTCGAGGGAAGGGAATCTGTAGCAGCAAGAGACTGAACAAACTCATTTAAGCACAGAGAATGCACGAGGTATTGAATAGGATGACATATCAACCATTAACATTGCTTAAGATCACAGTCCATGTTATTTCAAATATAATGAACATCTAACAAAACGTGCCACTCAATTTACGGATCCGAAGGACCATATGAATCAAGTGAACACTCTACTAAAATGAATATATGAATCTCTCTTCCCACTGAGGTATACGCATGCATCAAAAGGCTGAGCGCGCCTACAAAAATCCTACTATTTGCAGATAAAGTCTACTATATTCAGTAACAACCTACTTAGAAACGGGAAGAATGCATCACGGTCACAAGAAACACGAGAACAAGTTGGGAGTACAAACCTGCAGCGGTATCTGCAAGCTGAGGAGGGGAAGACTCCAACATCCTCTGGCCCTTCAAGTAGGGAAAGAAATTTCTCCAGAGAGCTTTGGCGACAGCAAGGTGGTGCTCTTTCGCCACCGATGAAGGCTGTGCGTTGGGTCCCTGGTTTAACTGCTTATGTGCTGTTCTAAGAAAAAAATAAATAAAAGTAATACGACCATAAAGACTATTGTCCTGGGAGGAAGAGTAATTGAATTTTTTAGATGCCTTGGGATAGCTACCGTGCATCCTTTCTAAGGATTTAAAAAATCACCTTTTGTAATTCAAAACTTGATGGATACAAGCAATTTGATGGATAAATGATGGCATATTAAGCACCGTAAAGTTAATGTTAATTATTTATGTCAGCCATTAATTATGCACCTCTTAATATGTCAGGCCCAAATGGGAAACAGGCAGTTCTAAAACGAATGTGCGTATTTATCAAATGACAAGTAAGCATGCTCACACTCCAATGCCAAATCTTTCCTGATTTGTTAATTTTCTATGCACGATGTACAGAAACTGGGTCAGGCGCAGAATATCTATGAATATTTTTTTCCCCCCTCAAAAGCATTTATCACTGAAGTTTTCTTTTTGCAGCCTCAGTAGAGATAAATGCATCAAAACAAACAAACAAAGATTAACCCTTTTCAAGTACGTGGCAGCAGTGTTCATAGCACACTGAGGACTAAAGTTACTATTATACCTAAAGTCAGTCCTTTACAGAGACAATGTGGCATGAATTCAATAACACATTCAATTTTCTTTGATTCTGCTAGTACAATTCCTACTACTTAATCTAATTTGGAAGTTGTGACTTTCTAAAGGTTCAATAGAGATTTGTCTGCAGGGAATCGGTTGGAGGAAGGGCAGGAAGCATTAATAAATTTGTCTGGCAGACTAGAAAGTGAGGCATTGCTGCTCTTGGATGATCCACTAAATAACATGCTTATTAAAAACAATTCGTAGAAATGCACTATCATTCCTGCTCCTATTTATCTCGTGGTCAGCTAAATTGAGATTGTAGATTAAGGTACTAGCAGCATTATTACATTTGCTTTATTAAATTTTATAAACAGCAGAGTAAAATCAAAGACAAGGTATAAGTCAGTGGCAAACTACAAAGAAAGGCAGTTGTCTTCAAACTCCTTTAGCTCGTCACTGACAACCAGACTGAAATCAGAAAAGGACTTGCATATTTGTGAATTTTATCCTAACTCCTCAAGCTGTGTTTCTTCCCACTGTTATTATGCCGACTTTATTTTTTATGGGACCAAAGACTGTTGTGATAATTTGCTTGGAGTTATGTTAATTATTTAAGCAGTGTTTAGGTCTACACAGTCCGTAATAATCTGTGGTAAAAAGCCTGTGGAAACTCCATTCTATCTTTATTCTCCTCCCTCACTTTGGATTGTTCAAGGTATATATCTCTTGCCCTATCCATCTCTGGCAACTGCATTAATCTGCCTGAAACAGAAGACTTTGTAATAAAATTATAAATTGCAGCTGCGAGGAAGAAAAATGTGATGAAAATCACAAAGAAAAAAAACACAGAAACAGATGCTGTATTGCATGTCTGCATCGGTCAAAGAAACAAGACTTATGGTTGACATTTAACATTATGGATCTCTCCTTGATAAAGAAACCATCTGAAATATATAAGAGAATAAATAGAGACACACTATATAACAATGATGGCGAACCTATGGCACGGGTGCCAGAGGTGGCATTCACAGCCCTCTCTGTGGGCATGCACGCCATTGCCCCAGTCCTAGGCCTTCAGCTGGGTTTTATAAAACCTTTTCGCTTTAGGCCTCCGCCACCGTGTGAAAAAAAAAAAAAAAAAAAGGTTCAACCAGTCAATTTCAACTTCTCGTGGGAAAAAAAAGATCTTGCAAAGTTGGAATTGATTGATTGAACTTTTTAGTCCCACCCAGTGTGCCGTTACCACCGCAGCCACGCCCACCCAATGTGCCATGCCCACCTAATGGGCCACACCCACCCAATGGGCCACACCCACCCAGCACTCAACGATGAATAAGTGGGTTTTGGGTTGCAGTTTGGGCACTCAGTCTCTAAAAGGTTCGCCATCACTGCTATATAACATCTGTTTTCTGGGTTATTTATCTCTCACTTTGGAGTCTATATAGCTGTTTAGGTACTTTCTGTTCTTTCCTAATTAAAAATCAGCCCTAAACCTAAAGATGGATTAAAAAAAACTACTTTTAACTAAATTTCTAAGAAAAAAATATATATTTAGATCCTAGCAAATATATAAGAAATCTCAGAGTGTACCTATTGACTGAATTTTATACTTCTTAGAATTTTGTAACATGGATTTCAAAAATTAACATATATTAATTTTTGTTAAAAAATATGGCCTATTATTTCCCTGTGGGAAAATGTGCAAAGAATTAACCACTAGGTAGCTGCCTATGTATAAATATTTGTGTAAGCATTTTTTTTTTGCATAACAGCATCATACAAAATGCTTTTTTGAATTATTGGCCCATCTTCTGGAATGGTTTTTCATGGGGTATCAGAGGCTGCAAAAATATCTTCAGGGACAAAATCAAGTTGTACTGCAAAATCAGACCTAGGCATTGCTTTAACGGAAGGGACCCAGGCTACTAGTTTGAATGGGAAGTCAAAAGAAGACATGGACAAATCACCTCTGTACTATTCTAAATACTAGTATCTGTATTATTATCAGAAATCAAATTCAGTGCAAAGGAGATTTTACCTTTTAGTGAGAATCTCGAGGGATGTGCCCTTTAAAATACACAAATATACATACATGTTAGTGCATGCCTCAAACATACATGTAACCCTTTGGATCGTATTCATAGACAAATGGTTACTTTTGTAACCATTGTTTTTCACAATGAAAAACTTGTAATTGCTACTCACATATGTATTATGCTCTTCAGCTAAGAAACAGAGATCAGAAAATTAAAAGGCATTATTGTGATACCACATGTCTTTGCCCAACTGATATTGCCTCCTGCAAATTCTTGGCATATGAAAACTTAAAATACCATGCAAAAAATCTTATCAGGCTGTCACAACACATTCACTATACAGTTATGGGATTCATATTCAACAGACATGTATGAGAGATATTACAGGTTTAAACAGTATTACAATTCACTCTGGAAATATACTTTAAATAGCATAATATTTATAGAATCTAAAATGTTAGACTAATTTAGATTTTAAAAGGTATATAAATATGAAAGTATTTCCACATCATCATTACTCTAAAACCTGTCACTTAAAACACTTCTGGATTTAACACTCCAACCTATCCCAACAATCCAAATTATCTATAGAAAATAATCGCAATTGTAAGAAATGTAACTGCACTGGCAGAATTTTGTGTCTTTTAAATCACATAAGCAAGAGAAAGTTTTTGCCATCAATTTGACTAGGACATTGGATCCTCAATTTATGAACATATGTAGAATAAAGAATAAATGTTCTGCACCACAAGAAACTACACGCCATAGGGTATGCTCATTTACAAATGCCAAAGTCTTGATTTTAATATATAAGAAATAATTTGCATATTTATTTATGCAAATTATTCATTGAATGAGAGATAGTAATCGTAGACTCAGCACTGACCTACAACTGGATTATGGTTTTGTTAAGAAGTACATTTTAAAGGCTCAAGTATTGATTACTTTGTGATGGCTGTGGAAAGTGTTGAATATTTTAAAATTGGGATTATTTTTAAATTCTATTAGATTCAGTTTTGAACCACGGAGTAGCTGTAACTATGATCCTACAAAGGAAAAGTCCATTCGCCTGTAGATGAAAGTGTGTGGGGAGGCAAACGGACTGTATTGTTTCTGGATTGGCTTCCATGTGCTCTGTATGCTTGAGGATGTATTATGCATGTTTGTGATGAAGACAAGGCTTTTTGTGTGTGTGGTCTCCTATCCCTAATGTCTTCCATTTTTTCTTCCTGCACTCAGCTATCATTATGCATATCTTCTTCTTACATTGATATTTTTTCTTATTTTTTTGCCTCACATTGTCATGTAGGAAACCAACAATCTAATGTTCCTTCATCTCCTAACCAAACAATGTTTTAGGAGATATCCACCATTGCTTACACAAACTTTTCTCAAATATCAGCAACTACGGAAGAGCTGATGGATAAATGCTACATTTTTATTCTGAACAAAACTTATCCATTATAATCCATTTTAGTAGTACAGTAATACTGCTTTGTGTCTAGGAAGATGATCATTAACAGATTCCATATTATTCTGTTTTCTCATATTTGTAAAACCAACACATCGAATGTTTATACATAGAAGTACAATAGATAACCTGTTTGCCCAGTGTTTAATCTGAAATATTTATTCTGCTACATTAAAAATTACATTTAGTGATAATTTGGGAGGCATATCTAAAGATATATATAAAGATTTGACAATGGACTATGTGTGCACCTATGATCTCAAGTTATGGACCTTTTATTCTAATGTATATAATTTCTACCTACAAGTAACAGAATAGCGCTACATATTTTGGTTAATTTACTAATGCAAACAAATTACTAACTTCTTGCACTAAAAAGGGCGTGACAAACTTAGCTGCTCTCCTTAATGCTTATTTTTTACACATGTAAGTGTGTCGGAGGGAGTTTACTGAGAAAAGCAATCCAATATTTGATATATCTACTCATAGATTAAAGTGATAAAATTCAAGAAAAGCTTTAACCCTTTGATTGTACTGATCAAGGCTAGTCTGAACGTTGCTGTCAAAGATGAAGAAGTTCTTCTTCTACAGATCCCATATATACATCACACAACTGAGCCATTAAATACCAGTGACATGAAAGCACCTCCCACCATGTTGGAAAGTAATAGGGTACAGTATCTGAAGGATGTGGGATAGGCTTGCTAGCTACACTGACCTACCTAACACTTAAGTCCCAAAGGTGCTTTTTCAAAAGGCAACTGGTTTTTGTTTTTCCTTGAAGACTTTTCACTTCTCATTCTGAAGAACTGAAGAAACTTGGATCAGAAGCAAAACGTTTTCAACGAAAAACAAAGAAAGTCCAGTTGCCTTTTGGGAAAAAAAGCACCTCTGGGACAACCATGACCTGGATGACTGAGAATCTCCATAGAC